ACATTTGCTAGAACTTCCATTACCACCAATCAAATATAAAAGCCGCCTAGGCCACGCATTTAGAATAGGAATGGAAAAGTCGACTCTGACTTTAGTCAAAAATCGCCTTTTTGCTGAAAAAAACTCGACCTTTTAGAATCGAGTTTACTCGTCTCTAGTCGACTAGAAACGACCCTCATTAAACTATGTTCACATATCAATATTGTCTCAATCAAAGCTAGTTTTTTAATCACCCTGTTTACACAGGCCAATCTCAGATTATTAGCCGTCAAATTTGTTTCGCTTGTTATTCTCACATCTCAAGGAAAATTTATGTTTCTTTTCTGTGCGACCGTGATCACGTTTTTCTGCCATAATGAGCAATATAAATATATTTTAACTTAACATTTTATTAAAAATACCTTTACAAACCTCTTTTACTTTCTAGCTTACATTTTTGTTTACTTTTACATTTGGCACTTCTCCTCTCTTTCGCAAAAACAATCGATAAAACTAGGATGGACACCGAAAAGATATCGGTTAAATCTGAGATTATTTTATAATTACAGATTAACAAGGGAGGAATTTTATATGGCTAATCTCTTGTTATAATTACAGATTAGGGTGTTAAGCTCGAAAATGAGGATAATCTACTTATATGTGAACCTAGTATTAGATGAACTTTCGACTTTTGCCACTTCGGCTACACGATCAAGCAAGGCGAATTTATACAAGGTGGTGTTAACCAAGGCGAATTAATATAAGGTGATAGTAGGAGTACAAAAACAAAAATGTACATGTATTTTGTTTTTGCTTTGGTGGCATAAACTGTCAAAATCTGTAAGAGTGTGTATCGAAATTCAAACAAAATTTTTCAATTTGATATCAGAAGCCGTGCGGCGAAACACATACACAAAATCAGCTGAGCTAGTAACACCACCTTATATAAATTCGCCTTGGTGTTAACAGAACCAAAACAAAACTTACAACAACAAAATACACGCTCCTTGACAAGGCGAATACATATAAGGTGGTATCGATTCAACAAATACAACAATTACTTGTATTTTGTTTTTGCTTTTAGCAGGCCATTGTCGAATTTCAGCTATTCTTCCTCGAATGAAAAAGGGCGACAGAAAATACAAACACTCTCACGTTTTCACTCACTCACTAGCGAAATACAAAATTTTGACAATCAAACGCTACTCACAGCTGATGAAACAACACCACCTTATATAAATTCGCCTTGTTTCTTGACAATCAGTACAAAGCCAAATTACAACAAACGCATGATTTTGACAAAAGGTACAAATTCGCCGTGAAATCAGCGGATCCGATAACACCACCCTGTATAGATTCGCCTTGCGATCAAGCAATTGAAAGCCAATTTACACGACGACCTTTCTCCCTGCGTTTTTGGCACGTTCTCTTTTAAAAAATTCTTCCAAAATCCTCGTGCATTTACACGATAACTTTTTGTTTGCGCCGTTTCTTGCGCATTTTTGACATTTAAACGTAAAATCCTCTTTGGTCAACTCTTTCGTCCTCATTTTTAAAGCGGAGCGAATCGCGAACTCAAAACAAAAATACGTCAAAACAACCCCTCGATTTCGCTCACCGTGCGTGTTTGCCTACCCCGCTGACTTCGTTACACTTCTTGCCTACAAGCTCGACACACAGGGTGAAAAGTCATCGTGTAAATTGGCTCCAAGTTTCAATACACTCATACTTCTTTATAACACACTCGCACTTTTAGAAATTGGTTTTCTAAAAATGCGATTGCAGGTGTGAAGACCCTATTGATGTTTTGGAAATAAAGATGAAATTCGATTTTTTCTAGAAAAATTCGATTTTATCCGACTTTTGGCAACACAAAGTTCGATTTCAAAAATTCGCCATTTTGGAGCTACAATTCGATTAAAATTCGAATATCAAAGCTTCGAATATCGAATTTACCCATCCCTAAACTGTAAACAAAGAGAGAATACTAACAGCCAATGCGAACAGCTTTCAGCCCACAATCCCAAAACTCGATTTCAAAGTGTTTTCGTTGTCGGTCCGAACATGGTATTAGACAACTACAGTATTTAAATTTCTTGAAAATATTTTTATGATATTTCACAATCAATCAATTAATAATCGATTAATTAAACACTAAACTACGATACAATTAAATCATAGTCGATTAATTTAATCAAATGATTAATAGCTGCAATATTTAGGTATCCAAATACTTTAATCTGAATAGATCCTACTGGGAATTTGATTATGACCAATGAATTGGGATTGTCTGAAGCCTTATGTGGCATGGCGCTGGAAGATGTACTTAGTAGACATCGCCGTGAACGCAAGGAGCTGCAAGCCAAAATACAAGCATTGAAAAAAAATGCACCAAAAAATGACAAAAAGAAACGAAAAGAGGCGATGGAAGAGGTGGCACGTATGGAGAGCGAACTGGAAAAGCGACAAACTGCAGAATTAGCAGATGTAGAAAAGGGCCAGGAAAGCCAACATGGATCTCTCAATGAACAGGAGCAGCAAAAAGAAGTATTATGCAATGACGAGGAAGAAGAAACCTCCAGATGTAGTTCTCAACGAGTTTCTAAAGCTCAAAAACGACGTGACAAGAAGGCGCGTGAAGCTCGGCAACGCGAGGAAGATGTACGGGCTGCCGCAGAGGATGCGAAATTCGCACCAAAAGCTATAGAAGCACGTAGTATACAGGAAAAATTGCTGGAGAGGCAAATAACTCTTCACAATATACCCTCCGATGGAGATTGTCTTTACAATGCGGTGCGACATCAATTAACACAAAACGGATTAATTGCCTACAGCGTACAAGAGCTACGAAACGAAACGGCCAATTATATACGCGCTCATAAGGATGCACTTGTTTGCTATATGACAAATCCCAAAACAGGTGACTTACTAACCGACATGGAATTCGAGCAATATTGTGAGGCTTTGCAAACTACCCCAGCTTGGGGTGGACAGATTGAATTAAAAGCTCTTTCTTCAATATTAAAAGTACCAATTGAAGTACTGCAAGCAGAAGGGCCGCCCACTGTACTGGGTGCTGACGAATTTGCGGGACCAAATCTATTAATAACTTACCATCGACACATGTATAGCCTTGGTGAGCATTACAATTCCACTGTGCCAATAAGTCAAGGAAATACCAGCAAGGCCAATGACTGAATAAAAGATGACGAAAAAAGACAAATGCTAATCGGGGAGATTATCAGCAAGCAAAACGGGTGATATACCGGTCCCCGGAGAAATAACGTCAAATATGGGGTAATAATGACCAAACGTGTTTTGCTCCGGGGTAAAGTTGTTTTATTTATTTGTTACAATCTTGCGACTTAAATAAACGCACTGATACCTATGTACATATTTTGAATATATTACAAATTATACATAAATATTTATACGTATGTTAAAAAGCCAATTACAAATATAGTGCCAGACAAGACAAAAGTATTGGCACAGAGAATTTTTCGCAATGCATGCAAAGTTTTTTATTCTAATTTATTTTCTATTCAACAATTTTTATTGAGCTTGAGGCCGTTTTTAATAAAAAACTATTGTGGAAAAGCAACAATAATTTGAAAAAATTTGTAGAAGTGATAGATATTTGCCTACGCACTGTGCTAAAGGCACGTGGCTGAGTCAGCTGGGTTCTTCGGTTCGAGACCCGCTGAAGAAGTCTGATGAGGAAATGTGGTGATTTCCGAAATAGCTATCACTTCTAACATATCTTCAAATTAATGAAGTTGCTAAAACATCGCGTTGATTTTTGGCAATGCCTATAAAACTGCATCAGTAAAATTTTTCTAAAAAATCTAATTTGAAATATGCAAATTAGTACACAAATTTATTTAATTTTCCTGAATTTGCACAAAGTTTAGAGATTTTGTTTTTGCGTTGAAGTATGAACTATATTTGTATAAAAAATTAGCGAAAAGAAATTAGATAAAAAACTTTGCATGTACTGCGAAAAACTCTCTGTGCCAATGCTTTTGTCAGGTACTGTATATATCTAAGAGCCGTTTTCTCAAATGAAATGAGCAGTCCACTTGCAAACAGCGTTATGTGATTTTATAATAGTAAGCCATAAATTAAAAAAAAAAACGTCTACAAAAGAAGTAAAATCCAACCGTGGCACCGAAAGTACCACGTTTTCTTGCAGTTTTCGAAGTTCGTCAGAAGATGGAGACCTTTTAACTTGTATATAAATACGTACAATAAATATTATAGCGACTTTTGAAAGTGTATATATACTTACAATTAGTATTATAGCGACTTTTGCTAGCTGACATTTGACTTCAGAATATATAAGGATTTTGCACTGTATTGTTACTGGACATGAAACTACTTTAAATACTGGTACGTTAACCACCAAAAAGTAAAAATCGAAAAAATTGGCATAGAGCACTTTGCAAGTGGACTGACTACACAAATGCTTAACTTTAGATATAGCTCATTTTTAATCCAACGTTTAAATATAAAGTGAGCCTTTAAGTTAAAGGTTACTACAGAAAACGACCCTAAAACTATCAAATAAATGATTTATATTGTGTACACGAGATGGGTAGCTGGCGAGGCCTAGTCTCCAGTCTAACGTTATGTGCAGTCTATCTTTCCGCCGCGCTTTGGTCGGAAAGGCCGAGCTTCCTATCCATGTTCCCGTCATTCATGTGCTAGCAGGTGGTTGGATAAACTAATTTCCTATCCGCTCCTTCCTTTCTCCTAATGCAGCTACTTTGATGTGAGGCAGACGGAAAGAGCTAGTTTGTTCTCCGCGCTGTGGACGAGTTGCTGAGCGGGGTCGGATTGATCATCACACCGAAGAGTGTTTGGCACCTTAAAAAACTCGCACATTAACTGTCAATAATTTCATTGAAAAATCACGGAAATTGGATCCTGTATTATTGTAGTAAATTTTAAAACTAGTTAGAAAGCTTGATTCAATAATTATTATATATTATCATGATTTGGAAGTACTATACATGATCAATCCGAATATAATAGCGTTTTCTTTCTACAAAAAAACTTTGCTTTTTCATTGCCCTCTCCTTAGTTTTGTGCGTAAAGGACATGGAAGGGCAACATTTTTCGGTAGAAAAGAAAACGCCGTAAGACACCTGTATATGTTTAAAAGAGATCTATTATGGAAGGTATCAAGTTCTCCGTTATCCATACAATTATGACTTCAAGTGTATTTCGAACTCATCAATTCCACTTTACCCGTAGCGAAACTCCTGCTGGTCATTATTACCTCATATTTTTAGTGAGTGCCGATAGTCACTCCGAATACTAATATCTATGTATAAGTAAAACAGGGTTCATTATTTGAAATTTTATTAATCAAAATAAATATTCATAAATGTAGAAAGCAGTTTATTGCAGACCGTTAAAAATGAAATAATAAATCGTTACTTATGCATACATATCGTCGTTTAAAGTACAAAACCGCATATCAACATAATGCAATATGTGTGGTTGCATAAATTGTTTTGTAAAGAGTAAAAACACTGATATTTCAAAATGGTTCCCTCTTTTATAAAGCAATCCCATTTCTGGCTAGTATATTTCAGGACGAATGGATAAGGCTTGAGCCAAGAGCTTCTGTGAGCAAATCCAATTTTTGGCAAAAACAATACTGAAGCGTCAATTACGCGGTTTTGCAGAACGACGATACGCGGTTTTGTCCTTTAAAGGACGATATGTACTTATGTACATATCTGTAGCTTTCACTTAATGTAGCTTAAGTGACTTACTAAAAAATAATTAGTTTCCCTTAACAAATTTTGATTTTTTTATTAAGCTTCCATTAAACTTTTCAATATTGTTTGGGAACCAAAAGGGCCTTTGATTAAACGACATAGTTATAAACATATACTATTTTTAAATTACTAGTGAACCCGCATGGCGTTAAAACACCCAAAATTTGATTCAAAAAACCTAAAAAATATTCCAAATGTTAGTCAGAGTTATAGGAGATCCGAGTACCATATTTCATTTAAAGCAGCCGTCTCTGAGTAAAGAGAGGTCTCGCAAAGTGCAGGCTTTTAATTTCCTCGAATTTAAAATCACCCTATACAAATAAAAAAAGTTCTTAAAGAAAACTAAAACTGTATCGCACATCTTCAGGCTAAGGTCTTTCATTTCAACTCATTTTGAAATTCGAAAGAGCGGTGGAAATCTAAGGACTATCACAAAAAATTTCTTCTATAAATTATATCTTCCATAAATTTATATTTCATAAAACTGGTGTATAAGTTAACTAAATTCGACGTTTCAAACGGGTAGAAATTCTTTTCAAAAGTATTTTCAAACTAAAATCGTTTTAAATCTCTTTCTTCTGACTTCAATGAACTGTTAAATTAAGTTGAATTTGATTGTTCAAACACGTGGCTTATCTCCTAAATAAAGGTCAGAAGAGTTTTCAAACCCATTTCGATTGATACCCATTCTTTAATAATTCGTTTAACTTTTTTAATTATCTCAGTTTAACTTTTTGAGCAGATGGTAACCCTCTTTCAATTATCAAGTTGCCTTAATTCAAGTTGAATCTGAATTCTTAAACATATATCAGAAATAATGCCTTCAAAACCCCATTTCGATTGATACCCACCTTTTAAAAATTCATCTAACTTGTTGAATAATTTTAATGTAACTTCTCAAATACGTGGCAACCCTCTTCAAATATTCCAAATGTTAAAACTAAAGATTTCTTAACAATCCTTCGTTCGACTCCCGTATTGTTGTTTCATATAATTTTTGTATCAGTTAACCTAACGAGACCTTTCAAACGTGTGGCAGCCCTCTTCGAAAGTACTTTCAAGGGTTTTAGTTTTTAAAGCGAAGCGCACATTAGCGCGATTCCATCGTTGCGAATACGTTGCGAATTCGGCTGTTAACTTCGAATCCGCAAACGTGCGCACACTTGAGCGATTTTTACATTGAATGTTCGAAAAATTCGCAGCGACGGAATCGTGCAAGTGTGCGCTAGCGCATTAAAATGTGTGGGTAGCATTGTTGTCATTTTTGGGCTTGCGGATTCACAACGACAGAATCGCGCCAATGTGATATCAATTTCGTGACGAAAATTAGACGCATTTTTTAACTGCCTTGGAAACGTAGGCAAAATCTTTTTTATTCATACGAATCGTTGCAAAAGTTTTGTTTTGTGTTTCTAGCAGTAGACGCATTTTCGCAACGTTCCGAATAAATAATAAAATTATAGTTTAAAAAACTAAAACCTCGCTATTAAAATTTCCATTCGTACTGTCCTCAGGTTACTTTAACCAGACTATTCCCACACCACTGACAAAACTCAGCGGCCTTTACTACTGCGCCTAATACTATGCCGCAAATTTATTTTAAGCTGTTGTATGACAATTGTCAGTTTTATTGTTATGACCTACTGAGTAAGTGACAACGGCGAAACAATGTTTATATTCTGTTTTAGGCGCAGTAATTGTGACAATAGTCATATGATGAATTTTGTCAGTGTTGTGGGAATAGGGCGGTAAGAATGGAAGTTTAAAGCAATTCTCATTCGTACTGTCATCAGGTATGTAACTTGAATGGAAATCGCTGCATCTTTTAGGCGCATCAATATTACATAAGTTGCGTTTTTTTACTCATTTCCAGTAAAATCCAGTAAAAGTTTTTACGAATTTTCATGTTTTGGCGTTTTCGTACGCAAAAACTTGCAAAGTAGGGGAAATTGAGAGAGCGAAAAAAGACAGGTGAAATTGCAAGTTTTTACTGGATTTTACTGGATAAATTTTTACTTGTAAGAATTTGCCAGTACGAAAAACAGCTGATCGCATGTTGCTGGATGAAATTTAAACTAATAAGGAAACTGTTTGTGGCTTTTTATTGTGGAAATTCACAAAATAAACATATATAACATAAAATATATTGTTTTATTAGGAATATGCTGCGAATAAACAACCAATTAATCAGCTGTTCATGAAACTTGCAAATTATTACTGGAAAAGCGTTCACGTACTTTTTTGTAAATTTTGTTTCTCTCCATGTCGCTTTTTACTTTGTATTCATGTTTTAATTTTGCGAATTTAAGTTTTTGTCTCTCTATTTCTATTTTCTCTTCCATTTGTTCCACAGATTTCTTATTTGTTTTTGGGAATGATTTTAAATTGTAATTTACATCTTTTAAAATGCGAGTACAATCTTTGTGGAATTTTGTTTGCCCATCCACTTGCATCTTCAAAAGATTGCTTTTTTTTGAGTTCGGGACCGCATCGTACTGCAATTGGGTGACGCCTGGGAACAGGAAGGAGGAGTACAAGGTGGCAGTTCTGCACGATCCTGCAAATCAGTTGCATAATTCGGAGTGGTTGGAGCAGTTTCACATTCGTTGCTGTTTGTGGCTTCACTTCTTCCTGCACCGAATTTTTGAGCACCGGCTATATTCCATCTACTGCTTCATTTATTTGCAACAACTCCATTGCCCTTAACTCCACTAAATTAAGGGAATTAATTTTTGCAGGGCCACCGCCAGACATGTGCAACTTATTTTTGCGCACTTTGGCTTTGAGGTGGGTCTTGTAATCCGCCCAAACCATAAATATGTAAATAAAAACTAATAATAGTTAATAATAAACGAATAAGCAAATGTAACATTTTCTAAAATTTAATTCCTTTTGCTTTATTAAAACTGTACTTCATTGAGCGGTTCATTAGCATACAGTATTTATCATAACCGTTATACCTTGAAAACGGTACTTTGATAGGTCGTACGACGCGCGACTCGTGTTGCAGCTTTAAGAGTTAACATTATTTGGTTCACACTAAAATTACCTTTTTCCATGAAGATGCATCCCGCGTGGGTGGTCCATCTCCATTTAACTGTTCCGTCAGCCGTTCCCACAAATTTTTGGAAGTTTGCTTAGCATCAGCGCACTTTATGTAGCCTTTGGCCAAACTTCGATGCGTTTCCATAAATTCCACCATAATTCCAAATTGGCTTTGTTTTGTATGCTGGCTTTTGCTGGATGAATCCCTAATGAAAAATATTTTACGTTTACAATTGTTATACTTAAAAAAGAGTTATTAAAATACTTACATTTTTCAAATAGTATTCCGTTTCTACAGCTCAAACGCTAACGCGTATTATTTGCGAAGATCGAATGAATTTGACATTCAAATTCGAGTTACATAGTTGCCAGTTTTCGATTTTCGAATATACTATTCGAAATTAGAATTGCAAATGCGAAAATAGAGTTACCAAGTACAAAAAATTCGAATTCGAGCAAATTTATTTTCTAATCGAGTTATATAATAGGGCCCCTGACCTTTTCAACCAAAAAAATGTCATAAATAACTGAGGTTGGCCTTTATTTTCGTTGGCGATTCCATTTCTCACAGTTATTAACCGTAAGCTCCCTCGCATAAAACACTTTCAGAGTGATATACCACAAAAAGTATAAAAAATAAATGGTTAATGATAGGAAAAGTTACAATGTGTTATGTGTGTATGTACTTACGTATGTACATATATGCTCATTCTTTATTATATTTCAACAAACTAATTGCATACGTACTAATTTTGCTAAGTTGCTAATTTTTACATCACAATATTCAAAGATATTTGTATGTACATATGTAGCGGTTTACTTTAATGTTAAATTTACATTTGGAAGATTTGTTTTATTGTCAAAAATTACAATTAAAGTGTTATTAGTTAATTTTCAAAGTGATTTGCTGTTTTTGTGCACATTTGGAAGAACACAATACAAATAATGCGTTGTGGCAATACTTAGCGATTAAAAGCGATTAAAGCGCAAGCATATTATTGTAAATCTTAGTAGATTAATACGATGAAGTGAGATTATTATCTCCAAGCCTTCAAATGTGATTTCTAGGCACTATCACAGCCTTCGTCAACTATAGCAAACCTTGTTCAGTTCATCTTTTTATTATCATTGCTGCTTATCGAAGGAATTGATGTTTTATTATTAGATCCCTTGTGTTCTAATGAAGATGGTGATTGTGTTACTTTCGAATCCGAGTTTGTTGGTGTATTCGGGTAAATAGCAAAGAGCGATAATTGTATAGAACTCAGGACTAATAGGAATAGGTTTTGGTACTAAATAGAAGAATATTGTTATTAATTAAATATATGTATAAGTAGGTAAAACATTTTCTTTTCACTTACGGCCATCATTGGATTTCGAATAGAAATTGCATATAGGGCCCAACATGCCGCTACTAGCGTGCCTGTAAATATAATTGGAAATGGCATGCCGGCTGTACTCTTTTTTTCGATTATTTTATTGAGTCGTAAGAGTGGAGATCCAACTAAAAATACCAGAATGCCGGTAATGAGCATACCAAAACGGAATTCAATCTTCTTCGGGTCTTCAAAAGTGGCGTACGCTAAGCAAGCTACCGTAAATGCTCCAGCAATGCCAGTTTTTGACCATATTTTCATTTTGCTCTCATTCGAAGCATACCAATAGAACACCGTCCAGAAAACGACATTAAGGGCGCAGCCGAGGATATTCACCGTTATAGTGGCAGAATCGCCTATCAATGCACCCATCTTTAAGGTGAGAACAGCACTGAAAATAGGAAATATTTATTTATTTTTTTTTTCATTTGGTCTCTAAAATGTCAAATACTTTAAATTGTTTCTCGTAAAAATTATAAAGTGTCAAAAGCTTTTTGTATGAGAAACCTTTTCCTATACAAAACAAGCAACTTTTGGAACGTTCCCCAAAGAGCTGGGTTATGCAAGACTTAAACTTGACTTACCTAGAAACTTAGAAACAATTACTCAGCGTGTCACCTATTACTTTTTCTCCTTGTTTTGATTCTCAGGTCTTGTATTTGTACACGTAAAATTGTAAAAAAAATTAAATAATAATAAAAAAATAGATAAAAAATTACAATTAAAATAAATGTATTTACGCTTTCAAACTTTTTAAATTTTATTTTCTGTCTTTATTTGAGAGTTTGTTTTTCGATTGCCAGATGAATTACATTTATACAAAAAAGTATATTTGTGTGGCATGATTCAATAATAAAAGGTTTGCTCAAAAAGCAGTTTTCTCGCTCCCTCTTGACAAAATCGGCTCCCTTAGCAAAGCACTGTGTGTGGGTTTTTGTGTGTGTGTGCAAAGCTTTTGTAAGACAGCTAAGGGAGTGTCAAACGTCTAATGTCAATAATGAGCAAACCGTTAATTATTGAATCATGTTTTTGTGGCATATTTGCAGGGATTTTATTAAAAAATTAAAAATTAATTTAACTTAGAAATCCAAAATCTATAGTTCTCCAAGTTTCTAAGTCAAGTTGTTTTCTTGGGTAACTACATACACGCGCTGCTCATTTGCCAGATGTGCAATTTTCAAGTCAAGTCAAAGTCAAAGTCTTGCATAACTGAGCTTTAAATCAGCAGCACAAACGCTAATTACTGGGTCTTGCAAATGAAAGATCAATGCTTCGAGTCAATTTAAGTTTTTCTATATAATCAACAGTTTTAAAAAAATTTAATATTTTAGGCAAAAAATATTTTTTTTCTTCATACATTTATTTTTACCATCAAAACTGTTAATTATATAGAAAAACGTTATATGAACAGATTAAAGGAATTGTAATTTTTAATTTTTTTAAATTTGTTTGAGCAAAATCGGACTAGTCTTTCTCGAGTTATGTCAAAAAAAGACCACCAAAGGTGACAATTTCCCCTATATGATAGTTATATATATATCTCGATTCCTAGACGTGACCCATCGAAACGCCGGGACACGTATAACTTGTTTTTGACCGATATAACATTTCCCGTTGGTTTCATCCCATCCCGATTTTGACTGTCGCATAGTGTTATTATTTATGTATGTATGTATAAGTACAAATGTAAGGCGGATGCGGACGATGGGTGGTGGCTGAGGTGGTTTCTGGTTTAATACGGGGAAAGACGTGCCCGCGCCAATAGAATTGAGTTCAACCTCAAAGCAGTAAAACTGTTCGGAGGGGAAACTCAACGATAGTTAATTTGGCGGGAAAAGTTTATGACAGTTTCTAATAAATACACCTATAGATGTGTGCGTACATATGTATATTATTAAGCACTAAGGTGCACCGTCTTGGATTGTTTGGTTTAGTCTACAGGCCTAAACACAGTTAAATTGATTAAATAAATGAAATATTGCAATGTGGGTGTCAAACTAAAGAGTTTTAAGATGACTTACAATAGAAAATATGTTTGAGATACAATATGGGTACCAAACGAAAGGCATTTGAAAAATCTTTATTTGGAAATATTTGCAGTATGATTATCACCTATCTAAAAGTAAAGACTGAAAATGTTGAAATTAAATGAAATATTTCATAACTGGTTCAAAACGAAAAGTGTTTGGGAAAGCTTTACTAGGGAATTTCAAATATTTCCACTCATCCAAATTCCGAACAATTTAAATAAAGATAGCATTTACAACATCTTATCAAACGAAGTGATCAACGAATATTAAGACGAATTTTATTGCCTCATATTTTTTGTAACTTAGAAACATCGAAAGGAGAACTGATCGAAAGAATGTTTCCTTATTAAGAAAATTAATTATAGGAATCACGATTAGCTCTGTGAATGGGCTATTCTTGCTGCGTAGAATAAGGATGTCTGTCAATTAAATAATAGTGACGTTGACAACAGTCGTTGCTTGAGCGCTGATCTGCTCTTTTACCAGACTGTCAGCCCACTTGCTCACTTTGGTGAATACCACTAATGTTATTCAATCGGGGCACCGAAATTGCGCATATGGAAACTGTGCATTTAGACATTATTTCGGTTTCAACCGAAACTGTGCATGTATGCTTTATTTCGGTTTTTACCATATGCATTATTTCGGTTTTAAACCGAAACTGTGCATGTATGCATTACTTCGTTTTTTTTTCATATGCATTATTTCGCTTTTAAAACGAAAGTATGCATATGCATAATTTCGGTATTTTCTCATATGCATTATTTCGGTTTTCAACCGAAACTGTGCATGTATGCATTACTTCGGGTTTTTCATATGCATTATTTCGGTTTTCAACCGAAACTGTGCATGCATGCATTATTTCGGTTTTTGTTATATGCATTATTTCGGTTTTCAACCGAAACTGTGCATGTATGCATACCTTCGTCTTTCACATATGCATTATTTCGGTTTTCATCCGAAACTGTGCATGTATGCTTTATTTCGGTTTTAGCCATATGCATTATTTCGGTTTTGAACTGAAATTGTGCATGCATGCATTATTTCGGTTTTTGTTATATGCATTATTTCGGTTTTCTAACGAAAGTGTGCATATGGATAATTTCGTTTTTTCTAATATGAATTATTTACTTCTACTTAGTAAGGGTTTTAATCCCTAAGCGCGGCTGAAAGCCGCCTACGCAGAGAAAAGTTCTGCGCAAAAATACGTCCGCCCTTCTTTTCCGGCAATACAGAAAGGAGAATTCTACTTAGTAAGGGTTATAATCCCTAAG